TTTTCCTTCAATTTGAACAAGATTATCAGGCTGTTTCTAGGAAAATTTCAAAGAGACAACACAGAAAGAGTGATTAAAGAGACCAAATTAAAGATGCTGCTGCTCAAAGGTCTATACATGTATAAATAATCCCAAGGGATCCCACTCAAAAGATACATCTGGAGGCAAGAAAACCTGATAACCATGCAAGGAACAGGAATGTTGTTCCATGCAGAGAAATGAAGGGTCACATTAAATAGAGAGGGTGACAGGGGGATAGAGGGAAAAAGGGAAATCAAAGCAGGAATCAGCACAAATAGAAGAATATTTTGTGTGGAAAAGAAATACATATATAAATATAAAAACAGAGAGGGCAACAGGGGGATAGAGGGAAAAGGTGAAATCAAAGCAGGAATCAGCTCAAATAGAAGAGTATTTTGGGTGGGAAAAAAAACAGATATATAAATATAAAAACATACATAGATATAGAAATGTAGAAATGTAGAAATAAATAAATAGAGGGGCTGTGCTGAAGGAGGACGAGCAGGAGAAATCAAAGGGAGATGAAGGAATGAAAAGGAGCAGACATCAAAGCAGGATGATTTTCCAGGAGAGGGAGAGGTGACCAGAATAGCAACGCTGGTGGCACCAGGGCTGGGAACTGCAGCCCTGTACCAGAGCCAGCCCTAAATCATTAACTCTGCCCAAACAAGAAAACATCACCTCCTCCCCAAGGTGGAACTATTTGTCACTAGGACAACCCACAGTTTTATTTGCTGGAAATGTGGTTATTTCACCATTTATCTTCCACACACTCGCACTGACACCACCCCTGAGGGCAGAGAAATCCCAGACTCCCACTGACAGCACCAGGATTCATCTTCAGGACTGTCAGAGCAGCCAGACCCTGAGCAGCAGCATCTCCCACCAACACCTAAAAGTGAGAAACCAAAACAAGGGCATGGAAAAGCACAGTGCTCCAAAATTCCTTCACCTCAGCTGAGAGCTTCCAATCCAAACCCACATTTGGGGCACGCAGCTCAGCCATGGCAAGGCCCTGCAGGAAAAGGGACTCGGGGAAGTAAACAAAGCCCAGAGGCAGGGGACAAGGGGCTGACACACCGTGTTCATCCAGCAGCACGCAGGGCTGGCTCTGGCAAAAAGCACAGCTGCTCTTATCAGCATAGATAGCTTTGAAGTGGCTGGCAGGCTCCCATCCATCCATCCATCCATCCCTTCCTTCATCCTCTTATCTATCCATCCCTCCATCCCTCCCTCCATCCCTTCCTCCATCCATCCATCCATCCATCCATCCATCCATCCATCCATCCATCCATCCATCCATCCATCCATCCATCCATCTCTTCCTTCATCCTCTTACCCATCCTTCCCTCCATCCATCCACCCCTCCCTCCCACAGCCCTGGGGTGGGGTCTGTGACAGGACCTGCATCTCCCCATCCCAGCACACTGTGAGACACAGCCACAGACCAGGATTCCCAGGGTGCTGGAACCCAAAAAGTGCCACCACAAGCCCTTTGAAAGCCCATGTGCAGTGCAGGCTGCTGGAATTCACTGATTTCAGGCTGCCACAACCCTGCTCCACCATCAGCCCTGTGCAGAGCCCGAGGGTCCAAGAGTGACCACATGAGAATCTCACCCTGAGCACTCTCTGCCCCAGCCTGAAGAGCACAACCCATGCTGCCACCACTGCTGGTGATGTTCTGGGTGCACAAGGAGCTGCTGTCCCCACCTCGGGCTCTCTGCTGCTCCAGCTCTCTCTGCTTTCCCCTCCTCACTGGACAAGGACATGTTTCAATCACAGATTGACCAGGTTGGAAGAGACCTCAAAGATCATCGAGTCCAGCCCAGCCCCAACACCTCAACTGAACCCTGGCCCCCAGTGCCACATCCAGGCTTTGTTAAACACACCAGGGATGGTGACTGCACCACCTCCCCAGGCAGCCATTCCAGAACTTTATCACCCTTTCTGGAAAAAACTTTTTCCTAATATCCAGCCTAAATTTCCCTTGGTGCAGCTTGAGGCTGTGTGCCCTGGTTCTGTCAGTGCCTGGAGAAAGAGCCCAGCCCCACCTGACTAAAATCACCTTTCCTTTCCTTCCCAGCCCTTATCTCACCCAGCCAGCCCTGCAGCCTCCTACCCTGATCACAGCTGCACTCTGTCCTTTGAAAGTCTCTCCAAACACTCAGAGATGCAGCAGCTCAAGAGCTCAGTGACAAAAGGGACCTCAAGCACCTCCTTTTTTCCCTGCCTGTCCTCCCACCTCACCTGCTCCATCCCAGCATGACACAAAGCACTGACTGGAGAAAAACAGCACAAGGAAAGGATTTTCTGCCTCAGGATCTGCTTTTCCCTCAGCAGATGAGGATCTGTATCATCATCCTCTCCACATTTCATGGCATTATTTGCAACCTGAACAGTTCCCAAATTTCCATTTGTAAATTCCCCATCAACACCCACAGCAAGGCAGCCTGGCTCTGCCAGCAGCTTGTCCCTGTTTTTAACCCAGGAAAAGGTAAAAAAGGTGGAAAAAGTCCCTTTTTTTTGCTTAAAGTTCAGAGATACTCTGCCATCCTCTGTGCTGCTTTGGGGATATTTTACGAACGTGTCACTGAGTGGGGGTTATAAATGGGTAACATTTCTTTAAACCCATGGACTGCAAAGCTGCTTTGCAATATTTTAATCACACACCTCATCTGTTTTCTAGCCTGCAGTACCTTTTGTACCAATTCAAGCTGCTTCTTGCAGCTCAGGAAGGGAAGAGACTCCAGTGAAAAAGCACAAATAGGTCCATGTCAGCCAAATTTCTCTATTTATCAGCTGCTACCAGATAACAGAGGATGCAATTTTTGGTTTTAACCACCCAGCACAAGCGGAGTTGTAATCAAACACCTGATTTGGCCTTCAGCCAAGTGGTATTCCTGGCAAACAGCCAAAGAAGTAGTTGGGATTTAACAACAAGTGCCTTTTGTTTGCACAAATTAATGTGGAGTTTGCCCTTGGCCTGTGAGAAACAAACCAGAGAGGGCATTTTGCTGTTAATTGGTTATTTATTTGTTTTTATTCTAGTCCTGCTGCCCAAAATGAAGTATAAACACGGGTTTGCCCCGCTTTATAAGGGGCTGAAGATAAAGTTGCCATTTCCAGCCAAACTGGGATAATATCAATTTCCAAGTAATGCTTTGCCAAGGCATTTTCCAGGCCACCTTGCTCCAGCACAGCCCTCGTTGAAATTCAACAGGGAGATTACTCCTCCTTTGGAGGGATTAGAGGAATTGAAGAGTAACTGCCATTCAATAATCCCATGTAAGTATCTAATCAACCATAATGTAATTACCAGAAAGTTTTAAAAGGTCAAAAAGGCCTCTGTGTGACATAACTTGAAAAGGAGAAGATTGCTCCTCTGCTCAGACAATGACTTAGGGAAAAGAAGAAGTCTAAGAGAAACAGAATGTGAAAGTGGAACGTACTTCTCATTCTCCATTAAAAACTCAAGAAACAGGCAGGAGAGAGGGAACAGAACAGATTTTGTTCTGCTGATGCCTCAGGTTTTAGATTTTTTATTTTTCAGGTTCTGGGCTTCATATTATGGGATGGTGAGCTCTCTGCACAGAGCAGGGAGACAAAACAATTTCTTCTCTAGCTGGGGACCAAGGACAAATGATCCAAATCTCAGCCCAAGAGCACAAATAACGTGGGCTGAAGAGAGAAAAACAAGGATGGGACTGTATGGGCTAAAGCTGGAATTGGACAATTAACTCCAATATGCAAATGGAGCAGAGCTGATAAAAGTGAGAGGCCCCGTGAGCAGTTGTCCATTTTGTGGCCATTTTGGTTCATCTTGGGTTCATCTTGTGACCATTTTGGGTTGTGCTGCCCAAAGGGGATCTGTTGAGGCCTCTTGATAAATCCCTGCTTTATTCTTTAGCTCTCTCTAGTCTCTGTTCTAGCTCAGCCTTCCCAAGACATCACTCCCAGAGAAATCATAGAAAAAACACAAAACCCTGCTGGAACAGGGAACCTGCTCTCCAGGTAACACACAACAACTGCTGCTCCTTCAAGTGCATCTTGACATGAAACTTCACAATACTGAGCATTGTTCATTTCCCAACAGCCTAAACAAGCTGCTTTTTATAGGGTTGTTTTCACACTTAAAGCAACAGACAGAAAATAAGAAATATCTGAACAATCCCACCCTTCTCCAGGCATTGCAAGAACAGAAATAACTCCACAAGCTCAGGACAGGTTGCAGAGGGTGGGAGAGGGGGAAGAAGAATAATTGGCTTTTCAAAGTCATTTATTTTATTTAAAAATTTTTATTTTAAAGACTTCCAGCACGTGAAGCAGCAGATGTTGCAGCCATCTCTGCAGGGACCAGGCATCACCCTGACCAGCACTTCCAAAGCCTCCAGATCATGTTTCTTTAACTGCAAAACCAGATTCCTAACAGGAAAACCCTCCCACACTGTCCCACCTTCCTGCCCAGGTGGAAATCAAGGGGACAAGGCAAACAAGAGACCTCAGCTGCATTTTCTCCTTTTCCCAGATAAAGACAATACATCCTTTTATCGTCTAGCATAGTATGAATTCTCCTTAATTTTTCTTTTAACAGCAATTCCTCCATGGCAGATAAAATTCTGTCTTTAAAGAGTTGTTCTTGACTAATGCTCAGACTTGAAGAACTTTCTGCTTATTTAATTACATTTTCAACACCCATTCAAAATTGTGGAGCAGGCTAAGAAGAGAAAAAACTCAATTTAGACCAACAAATCTCAACTGGCCGCACTGGGGAAAATGCCTGAAAAAATCAAAGTCTAAAAATCAAAGCACAAAGAGGAAAAAAAAACCTCAAAAAATGTATTACTGCACAAGTAATAGGTGGAGTGGTATTTTTCATATATATATATATATATACACACACACATACATACACATTTAAAAAAAAAGAAAAAATATATAGAAGAACCACAGTGAAATTCCATGCTGGAACACTCAGTTACCTTCTTGAAGAGGCGTCCTGAGTCCTCGCTGACCTGGACAAAGCGTGGGATGATGTTGTTGAGATAAATGTCACTGAGGGTGGTGTGGTCCCTGCTCTCCCTCTTCACCTGGTTGAGCAGCAGGTTCCAGCAGTTCACTGGTGACAGCACGTTCTGATCCTTCCTGCAAGGACACAAAACAGGAACAACTGGACAGGATTCCACCACGACTCGGGAGCTGTAAATGAAGCTGTGGGGTGGGTGGGATGCTGAGAAGGATACAGAAAATACACGCTCAGTTCTATTTCCTTACATTGCCATGAGCTTTTATCCCCCAACAAACAGATCCTGCAAACGCAAGCTGCAGTGTGCCAAGTGCAGGCTTCATTTTTTCCCTTTGAATGCAGGATTTTGTGCATAAATCAGAGCCTGAGGGAGGGAGGGCGATGGCTCCAGTGTCTGACAGGAGGTTTCACAGCCCTGTCTCAAGCATTTGGGTCTTAACCACAATAAAAAAGATTTCAAGCACCCAGTGTGCCAAACAGCATCTGCATAGGGAACAAAATGCTGTGTCTCCTGTGCAAAGCTCATTATGTGAAGGCTTCTCTATCTGTCCCCAGCCACAGACAGCAGCACTCCTAAAAGTTGCTTCATTTTCTCATCTTTGAACTTTCCCCACCTTCTTTCAGCAAATGAGCAGTGCAAAGGGCAGCAGGGGAGAGGAGAGGAGCCTTGGTTTATGTGGGTCAGCATTTCATTTATTGTAATTATTAAGTTGTCTCTCAGGGCAGCATTTCACCCCAGATGAAAGCTGGGGGTGCTCCAGCAGCAGATCCAGGTGGAACCTCAATGACAGCATTTCCTTCTCTGCAGCTCTGTACACCATTCATTCACAGCACATTTATCTAGAAAAGAGTAAAACCTGCGGTGCAAAGCCCTGATTACTGTACAAGACTCTTATCAGATTTCTTTCCTCCTGAAAGAAATGCAGTTTAATTCCCATTGAAAAGGGAATATTCTGCACTTGAAAGGACAGCAATCTCTGCTGCAAGAAACATTGGGAAAATGGGAAAACTGACCCAGGGCAGAGTTTCATTACCCTTCTCGTGACACCAGCAGTTGGATTTGTGCAATATGGATAATTTTAGATAAAGAGTTTCAGAACAGCTGATCTTGATTTTTTTTTTTTAAAGAAAAACATTTAAAAAATTGGAAAGCTCAGGACTGACTGCAGCTTGTGATCCGGACTGCTTCACCCACTGACTCCATCTCTGCCCTCCAAAGCTGGCAGAGCTACAAGTGAGAATTACCCAGCTACCACGAAGAGTTTGGGAACCAATTGTAGCAAGAAAAAATGCCCAGACTCTCCACCAGCTGACCAAAATCCTGCCTCAAAACCCCTCAGAGACCCATGAGCATCAGGAGCTCTGTATAGAGGAGCTTGACAGCTAGTTTGCAAGCAAAGCTAAGTCAATAGAAGAAATAACAATTGATGATTTTCGAGTGTATCCATAGCAAAGAAAAAGACAAGGCCATCAGCATCAAAACAGATTAGAAAAGATACATGAAAATTTTTGTAAGCTAAACTATGTGCATAAGTAAATGTGCATACATTCCTTATTAAATTTCTCTAAAACTTTTGCCAATTATATTAACACTAATTGCTTTGCACCAATAAATACAATAAATTATTGTGATGTAGTAAATGACTTAAAAACACACTTTTGTTAAGAGTATATAAGCTGGAAAACACACAGAAGAAAAACTTTTTTCTCCTTGGACCCTGATCACGTGTGTGTATGTCACATCCCACCTAACAGTGACAGTTCTGGCTGCCAGAACCCACGGGAAGGAGCAGGGAGCAGCAGGAGAGCCCTGATTCCCCAGGAAAAGGAGAGTTAAAACTGGGAATTTGTCAGAACCCAGGACACCCCTCTGGGTGCCCCTGGCAGGGGGCTGGGGAGTCCTGGCAGGAAGCCAAAGACACCTGGGAATTCCATCTTAACCCATGGAGCAAATGACCAACCTTGTGTGAAGAATCACAAGTCACAGAAGTTTAAGTAGAGTGATAATGAATTAATCACCGGGTGAAAAATGGAGTTTTGGTGATTTTATTATATGGGATCTAGGAGGCAAGGTGGAGGAATCTAGGTGTTGTCCTATTCTTCTTCCTAACCTCCACCTTCTTGGTGATGGTGGCACATTTGGATTGGTTTAGAATAGAAGTAGACAGTCTAACATAGGCGATAGGTATTGGAAAATAATGATAAATAAAGCACACGTAGTTCATAGTATAAAATGCAGACACCAGCCCAGGGGCGGGCAGTGTGCCCTTGACAGACCTGCAGATCAGACCCCTGCAGGTCTGAGAAAAAATATTTTAGATAATCAACAATAAACAACTTTGTGAACCAGAGCCAAAGAATCCCCACTCTTTCTTCGACCATCGGGCTGGGAAAAAGGGACTCTCAGGTCATCCCGACAGCAGGAAACCCGAGAGGAATTAAAGCCCAGCTGTCCCAGCCACAGCAGCCCTGGCTATTCCAAGGCAGCAAATAGCAGGAATAGCAGGAGCCTGGGGAAGGCTGGGGAGGGAGAGCACTGGGGTTTGCTGGCGCCACACGGGTGTTGACACGCTCCGTGTGGTTACACATGAAAGGCAGGAAAAGTCACCCCAAACCCCACAGCTCCCACTGCACAGCTGGGATTGTCACCTTCAGGATGCTCAAGCCACGCACAGGCAGATTTAAATTTTAAATTCCTTTAATTTCTTGCTGTTGTTGCTGTTTTAATAACTCCTTCAGTGCCTTGCTTTTGTACAGATCCAGCATTTCCATGCCAAGGAAGGGAGGCAAAACCTCTCCTTAATTATTTGCTGTCAGCAAAAAGCTGATTTTCAAGGCAGAAAAAAGACAGAAAAGGAAAGAGTTGCTTCAAACCTCCCAAGCATCCTTTAAAACTTCACACACATTAACTTTTAAAGCACCTCTGGAGCTGCAGCTTCTCCTGGAGTGGGGTGCAGTTTTCCCAACAGGGAGCAGGAGTTCTACAACTGCTCACAACAGAACCTCCTCATCCTCACCACAGCAGATGGCAGGGAGCAAACTGGGATTCCCATGAACCATTTCAACCCTCAAAGGAGCTGGCAAAGGCACTCTGCTCCCAGTTCCATGTCACCACAGAGGAGGGAAAAGGGAAGGGAAATATCACTGGGGGCTGGTGGTGTAACCATCCCCAGCTCCATCCCCACACATTCTGCACAGTGACAGAGTCCCCCTTCACCCTAGAGAGGGAAAACTGATGAGATCAACCCAAAAACTTTTAGGATGTGAATATGAACTTCTCCACAGTGCTGGTGCCTTCACACTGACAACTTTTTGATTCAAACCTCCCCCACGAGCAGGAGGAGGAGGAAGAGGAAGAAGATGCCAAGATCCAGGTTTATTTCAAGCACTGTTTCTTATGGTGTAAAGATGGTGGGGAGAATTTATTTAGGTTAGCCCAAATTACAGCAGATCACAGCCATGGGGAATGGCTGGGAGCAGGAAAAGGAAGCTGTGCACGGATTTTTAGGGAACCACAAACGATGAAGCCCTGTGGTTTCTTGGGTGTTATCTTGATCAGGTCCTGTGCAGCTTCCACTTCAAAGGTTTCAGTTGGGTCTCAAAAAGATCATAAGGGAAGATTGAGTCTCAAGTATCTTAATTAAATTTCTCATTCATACAAGGGACTCGCAGGCAATCCAAGATTGATCTGCTTCAAGGCAAGCAGGGCAGAGACAGATGCCAGAGACACTGAGTTGGGCATTGCAAGGAAATAGGAGAGAAGTCATCTTACACAACAGATTCTAATAAAAAATAACCAATAACAAAATAAATAATAAATTTTTAAAATAACCTAAAACCACACCCACAAACCAGGAATAGGAACCCTGTGTTTCCATAAGGAGCACAAAGTGAAGGAATGAATTAGATGAGAATGAAAATATTACTGAAGAGAAAGGCCCTGTCCAGCCTGGCCTTCGACACTTCCAGGCATGGAGCAGCCACAGCTGCTCTGGGCACCCTGTGCCAGGCCTGCCCACCCTCACAGGGAGGAATTCCTTCCCAACATCTCACCTAAATTCCCCTCTCATTTGAACCCATCACTCCTGTCCTGATGAAGGGTCCAAGGGATGTCCCACTGGCCATGGCAACAGAAAACTCCCTGACCATCCTTGCTGTGAATGAAGTGTTTAGAATAACACCTGAAGTCTCCTGTTCCACCTCCTGATCTCCCCAAAATACTCAGATTTTCCCTGATGTGTCCTACAGGCTTTCCCAAAGCTGGTGCATCCCAGGACAGCCAACTCTGCAAACCCCCAGAGCTGGAGCCAGGCCAAGTGTGAGAGCAGAGATTTAATTGTTCCTCTAAATACTTCTGCAACCCTCTCTGAATTTTGTCCTCTGCAGTGTGCTCTGGCAAGAGAGGCCACAATCACAGCAATGTGGTGTGAGACTGGCATCACTGAGATGATGAAAAACAGCACAAAAAATCCTCCCTGAGGTTTTCCATCCATTTCTGCTGGTCATGTATCCCTGTCTCTCTGCAGTCACACAGGTCACTGAATCAAGGAACGTTTAATGCTTACAAAAAGCTTCCAAATGGGGTTATTTGACAGGCTCAGAATAAAATGTGCAGGAGTCTGTTTCAGCAAAAAGAACCACAAAAAAATGACAATGTTTATTATTATTAATAATAATAATAATGTAAGTGAAGCCCACGTGATCCAAATGCTTTTGTCAATTCCTCCCTCACAATCTGTATCAACTCTGCTTTACAGAAATCATTTTACTTCTAGGAAAATTAAAGCTGAACTTCTCTGCAAGCTGCTCATTCAAACCCCCATTTGATTTTCCCTGACACAGCTCAGTGTTAACTGCAAATTTTGAGAATTACAAGCATGGACATCCATGCTGCTCCCTGCCCTTCTCTTCCAAAAGATTCCAGTTATGAACATCTGTTGTTTACAAGTGCTCAGCCTGAAGGTTGCCAGACTTATTCTTCATCTTCTACTTCAAGGCAAAGGCTGCCAGAAAGGCATCTGAATTTCATGCTGGGATATCCTGGACATTCAGCTCTCCAGCTGACAATTGCTACTCAGGATCCTGCTTCCAAAGATTATCTTGAATTAAAACGTGGCCTTAAAATAGCATTGTCTTTTCTTTTTTTTTTTCTTTTTTCCATATTCTCCCTCAAAAGCAATCACTCAAGATTTGCCATGGTTTTCATATTGTTGACTGATGATCTGAATAGGCAAATGCCTCCAGGACAAAAATTACACAAAAGAAGAGAACTGAAGGCTGGGGTTGGAGGCCCTAGGGTCTGAGTGCAGGGGAGCAGAGTCTTTTTTGGGGGCTAGAAGTCACCCCCAGACACAAGAGCCACCTGTGAGATGGATGTTCTGATTTACACCTCAGGTACCAAACCTGGGACAAACAAGCTCCTGTAGCAACTACAGTTACAAGACGTGGGCTATCATCAGATGCTGAAGAATTTATATAATCTATACACCAAATAATGTGTATGACTATTCCTTTTAATAGCCTAATTGATTAAAAAAAAATTTAACAGAGAAGCGGCACAGTGAGGTCTAACAGCCATGGCAGAGCAGTTGAAAGCAAGTAAAACCTGGACTTTATCCAACTGCCATCACCTCCTGTGTCACCCTGGCTAAATCAATCTGTTCCCCTTCTTCAGAGACATCAGGTGAGGATAACACACACCTACCCCTGTAAATCATTTTAAGATGCTCCAGTGAAGCTTCAAACTGAGCAGTGTAGGGCACCCTTTCAGGCCAGACCCAGCCACCTCCAGCTCAAAACCCACGTGGGAAATTCTCCTGCAGGAAAGACTGAGAGATCTGGGTTTGCAGAACCTGAGAGATCTGGGTTTGCAGAATCTGAGAGATCTGGGTTTGCAGAGGCTGGAGACAATAAGTTTTGGGGTGACCTCACTGTGCCCTTCCAGCACCTGAAGGAGCTGATGAAAGAAGGAGAGGGAACTGGAGGGACAGGACAAGAGAAATGGCTTCAGACTGACAGAGGTCAGGTTTAGAAGGGAAATTGGGAATAAACTTTTTCCTGTGAGGAACTGGCACAGGTGGCCCTGGGAAGCTGTGGCTGCCTCATCCCTGGAAGGGTCCAAGGCTGGGTTTGGAGCAACCTGGGATGGTGGAAAGTGTTCTGGATGAGATTTAAGGTCCCTTCCAACTCAAACCATCCTGAGATTCAATGCAAACGTGGCCACCTGATCAACTCTTAGCCATCTGGCTGGCATTTGATGGCTCTGTCCATCACATCTGGCGCACAGCTCTGCCCACCTTTCCCAAGAAAATGACTCCTTTTTTGCACATTCCAGTTCTTATATCCCATTCCCTATTAACAACACACAACCTACCAGGAATTACTGACATGAATGAGCACCCAGAAGCAAGGAATAGCTTCTGTGTCCAACACAAACTTGGGGAATGTTTGGCTCTGGATTTCAGAGCAGTGCTGGTGCCTACATTGACTCTAACAACTCTCTTTTCCATTCCTGTCCTTGCAATCAGATCTACAAAAGAGGGGGGGAGGGGGAAATAAATTAAAAATAAATTATAAATAAATAAAGAAAGAAAGAACAATAAACCTCCCTGGGCTTTGGGAAGCCCCACAGCAGCCTTCCTTGAAGCCTCTGCCCTTCCCAGCGTGGAGGAATCCACACACTCCAATCCCAGGGCTCAGCCCGAAGCCTCCTGCCCTGGGGAGCATTCCCTTGCAGGAACACAGCGGGAGCAAGTGGGCAATCCCACAAGAGCTGCAGAGCAGGAAAATGCAAATTACAGGGTGGCTGCCTGACAGATTTCCGTGTCAGGAGATCTAAAATCGGGATGTGCCACGGGGAGCAGGCAGGCAATGATACGGTACCTTCTGACATAATTACCAGGTTCTGGGGAGAGCAGGCTATTATGGGGTATTTATAGGGTCAGAGGCAGGCAATTACAGAGCAGCCTCCTCTCCCAGACGTGTAATCCTGAGGAGCAGGGAGCTGATGGCTGGCTTTGATCAAATGGGGGGCTCCCAATGGGATTCCAGCTCCAGCATCTCCACAAGAGATGCCAGCCAGGATAGTCCCTGTGATTCAGGCAGGGCAGCACTGGGGCCAGGTGGTTACAATGGGAATTGCTTCCCTGTGGCATTCTGGCACTCTCCTGAGTGGCACAGCCAGCACACAAGTGCTGCATGGCCAGCCTGACCTGTGCCACTGCTGACCAACACTGCCCACACACCCAGCAGCCTTAGACATTGTGTTATTTTTCTCTTCTTCCAACTCTTGACCAAATTAATTTGTGTATTTATGACTCAGACCTTGCAGGGATACCATACTCCAAGAGCAAGAAAGTTTTCTGGCAATCTGCTGCTGCTAAAGTAACAGAAATCAGGAGCCCAAGCAGCACCAGCCCTCTCCCTGCAAATCCTGCAGGATTCTGTTCAACTCTGGTCAAAACTTCCACATGATAAATTCATTCTAAATCCCCAAGCAGAAGTTCTATGCCACTTTCTCAAGCTGAATACAAAAGCGTTTCTGACAGGTTGTTTCATATCATGTAATATAAAGAAAATCACCTCAATTTTCACCAGAAATAACAACAAAATCAACTGAAAACACCCAACATACTGCAGAGGAAAATTGTATTCTAGACATCATCTCTTTAGTCCCATCTTAAAGGCACCTGCAGGATGTGCAGTTTATAGTTGTAACAACACTTTCACTCTCAAGGAAAAGAAAAAAATCCTTCAGACTCTGACAGGTGCATGGATGTGCAGAATAACTCTTCCCCAGTGTGTCACACAGCCCTGCACTGGAGCCAGGCTTTCCTGAGAACGCAGCACAACGTGTGCTCTAAATGACAGCTGAAGTGAACGACATCAAAGCTGTGCAGACAGGAAACTAAAATGGTGCCTCCTTAATGGCTTCCACAGAGAGCTGCTGCTGGAAACAGGAAGCTGCTGTGTCCCCACATCCCTCCAAACACAGCAACAACACAGCACAAACACAGGGAGAACGTCCCGACCCAAACAATGCGAAAAGTGACGCTGCACTTGGGGCGGGAGCAGGCCCAGATGGATCCTCTCAGATCTCAGGAATTATTCAGATCCCAAGGCTGCTGCTGCTCCGTGTTTTCCCCAGCTGCTGCCCTGACAACACAACCCAACAAGGCTGAGCACTGCCCACATGGGGACCACGGCCGGGCTGGGCTCACGTGGCCGTGCCACGCAGCCCCTTCCTCACCCCCACACCCCCTCTTGGAGCCCCTTCTCCTGGGAAAAGCACCTCAGCAGAACCAGGAGGATGTGAACCCATGGAACCAGGCTCCATCTGCATCAGTCACCCCAACTCAGAGAAGGGAGGAAGAATCAACATGCAGCAGCACGGTCAGACCCAGCTGTAAATGATGCTCCAAGCAGCAGAGTCAAGAGATTGTCAGTAAGGACATGTTCAGATTTTAATTGAGTCCCCCCAGCTCGGTATCCAGGGATTCCCCCACCATAGTGGCAGAGCTCTCTCTGGAAGTGCTACTGGCCTTATTTCCCTGCTGTTTGAAGTGATAGTAGCAGAGCTGCAACACAACTCCCACACAGAGCGTGTGTGGGATCCCAAAAACGGAGAACTGACAGCAGGGAACAGATTGGGAACAGCTTCCCTTCAGAAAACCAAAGCCACTGACGCTGAAGGAAATCCTGTCCATCAAATCTGGCACACAGCTTTGCCCACCTTTCCCAAGAAAATGACTCCTTTTTTGCACATTCCAGTTCTTACATCCCATTCCCTATTAACAACACACAACCTACCAGGAATTACTGACATGAATGAGAACCCAGAAGCAGGGAATGGCTTCTGTGTCCAACACAAACTTGGGGAATGTCTAGCTCTGGAATTCAGAGCAGTGCTGCTGCCTACATTTACTCAAAGAACTCTCTTTTCCATTCCTGTCCTTGCAATCAGATCTACAGCAGGGGAAAAAAAAGAAAAAAAAGGCAGAAACAAAAGGCAAATACTCTACTTGAATTGCTGGTCTTTGGTGCTCCTAGTTTTAGCCAGGAATCTCTCAGCCAACTTCTCCAAATTCCTGGAGTAATCCATCTCAATCTCTGCCTTCTTGCGGAAGAAATCCTGCAGGTCCTGCAGTAACTGGACCCGGAGCTCACACTGCTGGTCAAGGCATTTCAGCTGCTCTACCAACTGGGCACGGATCTCTGCAACAAATAAAAGCACTGCAGATTAAACACAGTCTCATCACAGAAAACACCATCACAACTCTCCAGCAAAACATCATTAAAAAATATGTTCCCTCATTGGTGTCAGCCAGGCTCCCTTGTGGTGATTATGCGCAGGCAGAAAATGACTGGGGGTGCAACTTGGACACAGCAATCGCAGGAAATTCACCCCAAACCCTGCAGGCTGGTGCACAGCAAAGCTTTGTTGCTGAAAAGTGCATCAGTTACAAGTGTCAAGTGCATTTTTGGCATGGGGAACGAGTGGTCACTGCCTAAAAATGTACTGAATCTCAGTCTGGAAAAAGGACTGAATGCTGCAATCCCCCACGTCAGCTCAGCAAACCACTTCAGGGAATTTCTATCAAATTCCTCTGCAAACTACTCCTGATGCAGAAACAAGACATTGCACATTCTGGGGCACTCCCCAAAGGCACCAAATTCAGATTATTCAGTTTGTTCCTGAGTCTCCAGCTGTGCAGCTCATTATAAACCAAGCCATGAAAGAGATGAAGAAACCCCTCTGGAGAGTCAACACCAGAGCACTTCCCATTAGGGAATCATCTCCAGGAAGGCTCCTTTTCCTCTTAAAATATCTGCAAGTAACATATTTCCATCTAAGGACCCCATAAAGCACACAGATATAGGTGTTAATATTATAATTAATTATTAATGCACATTCATAATAATCACTGCATAATTATTATGAATGTCTTGATGTTAGCACAGTATTTTACAAACCGTTTTCAAGCATTTTACAAACATGAAAGCTTCTCCCATCAGCCACGTGTTCTCCTTATCCCACTAATCCTGAATTTGAGGGACAGAATAGTAAAATGACTCACTCACAGTCAAACAGGGCAAGAAAACACAGCAGAAGTGTGTCAGTCGCAGCCTAAAAATGCAGAAATATTCAGTGATGCAGCCAGCAAAGGCTATTTGGCTTTTACACAGGCAATAAACTCAACATGAAATCAATAAAATATGCCCTTTCATCTAAAGGTCTTTGAGCAGTGAAACTGGAGAGATTTGCCATGGCCTGACTGCGAGCGCTGCTCCCTCCAAAGCTTTTCCAAGATTTGTTCCAGGTTGAACCCAGAACCAGCAATAAAATTTCAGGTTTCACAGCTTCCCTCACACCTCCAGACTGCGACTGCAGGCGCCCACAACGCCATCACTGCAAGGGAAGGCAAGGAGGGAGCATTTCCCAAACCCAATTTTTTTAGAAATCAACTACTTCACCACTGATTCCTGAAATACAGACAATCACGGAGAGCAGCTTGGCTCCTCCGTGAGTTTGTCCCTTTGCCCAGGAAGAAAAAAAACCATCTGGACCTCCATGGTTTCATTCCTGCCATGCACTCCCAGGATCAGTTGCCTCGGATCGTGCTCACATCTACGGGAACAGTTTTAAGGAATTTGGGATTTGCCGTGAACAAAATCCCGCATCTTTATTTTAGGGACTCCAAAACCCAAACCACATGTAGGAAAACACGGCTCCCAGTCAGGCTTGCCAAAAAGAAAAAGAAAAAAAGAAAAAGAAAAATCATCTGCACAAATGTGGGGTTTTCAAGCTTGAAGATGACCTTGACTAGCACTGAATTTGGTCATTCCAAACTTCTCAAAGCCTGTGGTACCCAGGGGCTTTTGCTGCAAGGAGGAAATACAGCCAGCAAAGTTGTTGAACAGGAGCAGTCAACACTGTAACGTGGGGGCAAAGCTGGTCAGGTTTATTTTTTTCCCCCAGGAGAGAATCTTAAAAACCAGAAAACGTGTTTCTTCATCAGGATACACCGCTACAGGCAAATACATCAACCTGAGCTGCCTGTGCACTTCTTTAACCAAAACCAGCTCTGCTGCCTCCCCGGGCTCAGGGATGCCCCAGCTCAGGTGGGAAGAGTGTGGGGTCACCCCAGGAAGAGACAAATCCACCAGGAACCCGAGCCTGGAGGTGCAGGGAAGCACAATCCACAGCAGGTGAAATCTGCACGCTGCTTTTATTTACCCCAACATCAGAGATCCCTTTGCTTTTGAGCTGCCTTTGTTGTTTGCCATCCCAGCTGGCGTTTCAGGACTGGCAGGGCCTGGGAGGGCCACTGGGATTCTCACACACATCAGACCCGCCAGCACTTATGTAAAACTTTGCTGCTGATGCTCAACATGTGCTGCACACACTCAGCTCGAGCCCCAGCCACAAACCCTCCCAAGGATTTGCAGGGCTCTGCACCAGTGACAGGTTTAACCAGGAAAATGCAAACCAGACACCCCCATCCCACCTGAGGCTTTGCCTTTTAAGATTTTTTAAAGCAAAGAAGATGATAACAGCACCAAAACTGCCAGGGAGGTGGTGTTTCCTTGCTGCAATCACTCAGGTCTCCTGATCCTTAACCTGACACTCACCTGCAGGTCTGACACCCAAAAAGGAACATCCTTCAACACAAGAAGCATTAGAAAGCTCTTCCTCCCTTTGGGTTTTCTCCTCCACCCTTTCCTCACCAAAAGGGATGTTCCCAACACAAAAACAACTCTGTGACCTTTTCAGATGCTAGTGGACAAAAGACACTAATTTTAGTAAGTTGAGGACTCATTGAAAGGGATCCCACAAAGAAAATACCTGAGCAGAGCTGGTGTCTTCTGCTAAGCACATTAAGAAAGAGAGTAAAGAATTCAAATGCAGCAAATTCTGCTGCAAAATTTTGATGTTCTCATTTGTGCATTTAGGGATTGCTCATCTGCAATTTTTTGGAAGTCTGCAACCTTCTTAGCATGGATGAGCAGTAGACACCTTGTTAGAGAAGAGGACTGGGGTAGGGATGGCAAATACCAGATTCAGGCAGATCATGATGGTATGGTGGACCACCCACCCTCCTTGGTGCTTCAACTGATGGATTTTTATGAGAGCAACAACCCAGCAAAACTGGACATTGACCGTGATATTCACAGTTGGAAAACCATCTTCTGGAGCAAAAGTAGAACTAGAAAGGACCACTTCCAAAAACCCAGCAGCTCTCAAGGACAAGAAGATCAGAGCACGATCGTTTTAATTAGAAAATCACAAGGCAGCTCAAGCTCTTGGCTCTCGAGGTGGGACACTCCACACACAGCTCTCTGACTGAACAGCACAGAGAACCAGCAACTTCTCCTGCAGTGTGAAATGCGATATCAGCACTTTTCTTTATAAATAAAGGCAGTGTTTGGGAGGGGAGCAGTGACAGCTGATCGGGCTCCCGCAGGGAACAATGAGCCATTCAGCCCCGGCTTATCGAGGCCGCGGCGCTAGGCCCGAGCGAGGCAACCTTGCTCATCTTTCAAACACACACCCCGCAGCCCTCTGCCACAAAATAAAATCAAGAATGCAGGAATTTCCTGAGGCTTACTGGGCCTTCCAGAGTATAAAGTGTCTGCTTGTTTTCCCACTGCTTACACAAGCAGAAGGTATTTTTTTTCAGCCCTGCTCCGAGCACATCCCCCGGCGGAGTCGGGGCCGTGCGTGCTCTAACCCGAGGGTCACCGAATTACACGGGACCTTTTCATGTCTCCAGTCACAACAACCACTCCAGCCCTGAATCCACTGCTTCTGCATCTTTTAATTTGCACAGGTTATTAGGTTAACAGCCACTTTAAACACCAAAAAAGCCTTTCCCCCTCCTTTCCTTTAGAGCTTGGCAATCCCACCCACTGTGATCATGGAAAACAAGGAACAACCTCCCGAAGACTCTGTTCAAGGGCCTGAAGGTGAAAAAGCACACGTTGAATTCAAGGTCAAGATGCCAGTGGCAAAATTAGGATTAAACACCAGGTATTTTTATTGTAAGCCTTGCCCTGTATCACTGAATTCTGTCAACTGCATTTCAAACTCGCGTGGCTGACAAGTACACAATGCAAACATCCTCAGTGGCCACAGAAAGTTTTCCATCCACTTTGAACAAACCATTTATTCATTTCCATCACCAGATCATAAAGTCACCTGGGTCACCGAGGGACAGACCGTTGTATAATCCTGGGCAGTTGCATGACTTGACTTTGATCTTTTTCAACATTCCATGTAGCACACAGGAGGCAGGTCCAGTTTATAATGAATTCAGAGGGTAAGGAAGGATCTTCTGCCTTCTGTATTTTAGTCCCATTTGCCATTCCCCACCCAGAGGCTGTGGCTGCCCATCCCTGGAAGCGTTCAAGGCCAGGCTGGATGGAGCTTGGAGCAACCTGGAAGGTGCCCTTGCACAGGGGAATGAGATGAGCTTTAAGGTCCCTTCCATCCCAAAGCATTCCATGATCCTCAAACTCCAGCAAACACAGCAGAGCTCTGCAGAGCTCCTGGCAAGAATTTGTGTTTTCATCAAACAATTCCACCCGGAGCAGGGGGATATCCCACAGTGCCTGGGACTGCACCATGCTCTGCTACAGCACCCAATGTCCACCTTCTGAAAGGGAATTTCCCAGATTTGACTTTTTAAGGCTTAAACATCCTATAGAGTTGGAATATGGAACCAAATCTTCACCAACTCATTTATTCTCCCACAGGTCACACAGTGACCTAAGAAAGGATAACCTCAGAGCCCTCCTTCACGGACTCCAACAACGCTCCTGCTCTGAGCAGGATCGTGTCCCTCCCTGGGAAGGGTTTCAGCTCTTCCCAGGGATAAGCTGGCACTGCTCTAGCTGGATGGCAGCAGGGTGAATCACAGGCTGGCAGCACAGGGCACCGGGAGCAGGCACGAGCAGCCCCAGCTGTGCTCAGTATCTCACCCATCTCCTGCATCCGTGGCTTGCCCAAGGAGTCCCCGCCCCATGCCGAGTGCCACGCCGCATAAAAAGATGACAAGCTTGGGAAAGGAGTGGGATGGCAGCAAAACAGAACCACCAAGCCCCAGATGAAAGAGCAAGGCTCTCACCCACACGGATCTGCTGCACCAGGCAGAGCCCAGCTCCAAATCCAGCTGTGTGCCTGGTGGCCCTGCAGCTGTCCCCATCCCATGGCA